CGTTTTATTAAAATGATTGACAGAATACAGACAATTCTCCCGTATCAGATGGAAACATCAGGACTTAGGGCTAGAAAAGAATTATTAGGTTAACCAAAAGCATAATCCATAAAAAACTGATGGATGGAGCCCTTATTCAACTAAGAAATCTCTGTTCTTTGACACCCTGTGGGAAGAAGCAAAGGAGAGCCACAGGCTAGGAGCATACCATGAAAGAGCAATCCAATCTGAAAATGGGAAAAGCCATGAGACTGTGCTACAGAGGATGTGTAGACACCGGACACTAGAGGGTTGCTGATGAACCCTCCCAAACACCATAATCACTACCACCAAAGCCAAAAGCAGTGCCGGTGCCCACCAAGTGATGGGAAGGACCTAGAAAAATTGGGTCACCGCAGACTACTGGCAAGAACTTGAAAAGGTGAAGCCGTCCTTCTAAATTCTAATAAAACTCAATGTGCAGTTAACCACTGTGTAATTTGCCTTTTTCCCCCTTCTTTTTTTTGAGACAGCTCTCACTATGTAGCTCTAGCTGTCCTGGAACTCACTTTGTAGACCAGGCTGGCCTCAAACTCAGAGATCTGACTGCCTCTGCCTGCAGAGTGCTGGGGTTAAAGGTGTGCGCCACCACCTCCTGACATAACTTGTTTTAGTTGTACTCTTTGGTATGAATCCCAGAGAAACAAAAATTTGTAACCACATAAAAATTTGCACATGGAAATTCATAGCCTCTTTATTTGGAAAAGCTCACCTTGGAATAACTCTGATGTCATTTGGTGGTTGAGGGGTTAAAGGGGTGTGCCCTGATGAATGTGGCAATGCCAACAAATCCCCAGTTAACTATACTAAAGAGAAACCTCCGGCCAATGTCTACAGTTACATGCTGTGTAAAATGCCATTGTGCGGCGTTCTGAAAACAATAATAATAAAAAAATGATTTAAAATGGACAGATTCCTAGTGGTCAGGGTCTGGAATTGGGTTGAGAAGGGTATTTGGTGATGAAAGGTCCTGGGATTGTTGCGGTGGCAACGGGCGTGTTCTGTATTTTGACTGCCCCTCCTCCAGGATCTTGCTGTGATACTTGATTTTGTTTTGTCTAAGTTTGCCCTTGGACAAACTGGGTAAAGGTTATACTGGAATTTGTCCGAATTATTTCTTTCAATTTCGCACGAGTGTACAATTGCCCTAAAACATAGAAGTTCAGTTTAAAACCAGATCAGCCTAATAGCGAGCAAACTTTAACAGGGAGGAGGCGGGCAGGGGTAGAGGGGAAGTAAACCTGCCGCTGCAGCAGGTTGAAGGGCTCCCCTCTTCATTAGGACTCCTGATACCTGCTCCGCCAGCACTTCTGCTTCCTCCTCATTCCAGGGCTTTGAAACGTGGTCTGAGACTTCCATTATTCAATTTCTGGCTACTGTTTGGTTGGTTGGGCTTTTTTCGAGGCAGGTCTATGTAGCTCAGGCGATCCTTAAAGCCACTATGTACCCTAGGCTGTCTCACGGAGATCCACCTGCCTCTCCCGAGTGCTGGGATTAAAGGCGTGGGCCACTTAGCCCAGCTTTGGCTGCTGTTTTCAGAGCAGAGCCGTGGAGTTTTGGGGAGAGAACTTAGATAGCTCACTTTTGTGACAGGCTCCCAGTTGTCTGTCTGCGGGAGGTACGGGGGAGGGGGCTCCGGGGCGAGCGGATCGGTCGGGCGGTCCTTAAGAATTACCACTGAATGTATGCTCTGGTCGAGCACCTCTGCTAGCCAGACTCTAAAACACATTTGCAAACGAGGAAAAGGAAAATCGAAGCTAACTTGTAACCCAGACAAGCAGCTGACACGAACCCATCTCTATTCTTCCCCAAACCCTGGGGTAGAAGAACAGCGGGTGAGATGGCGTACGTCCCCTTCCATCTGCTCTCTTAGTGCGACCCAGGGCGAATTCCTGGAGCTCTTAGTGGCGGAGTTCTTTATGTGGGCAAACTGGACAATCACAAAGTCAGGTTCCCCTCGCTCTGTGAAGGCGCCACACCTAGACGCAAGGTGGGACATTCCACCTGGCACCCCGCTGGCTGCTGTTCTGTGTTTGAAGTTTAAACCTGCAATCAGCCTCAGGGGACAAAGGTGGAGTCTCGGGCGGGGCGCCCCAAGTCTAGGGCATCCCAGCTTTTGAGCACACTGAGGTGTCTAGTGGGACTGGGACGCTTGCCAGCTTGCCTGGCCAATCCCCGAGAGCAGGGTCCCCAGCGCTTTCACTATGCTTGGCCTGGGATCCATCCCAGCCAGGACGAATTAAGAGAGGGCCTGGCTTGCATTAGAGGAGGTGACCCTCTTCTCTGGAACTGCCCCAGGCCAAGGTGGAGTTGGGGTTATCTGAGCTAGCTGGCGTTACCAATCAGATGGCAACAGTCGGGCTCAGGGAAGATGCCGGTCCTGACTGGTCCCCGGCCCCTGGAAAACGAGGTTGAGTGGCTCCCCCACCCCCCGCCCCGCCACTCAGTAGCTCTGTTAGGAACGGAACAGCCACACCCGGACGGGGACAAGTGGGAGTGCTGGCGCGCTACTCCATCCCGATTGAACACCAAGGATGCTAGACCAGGGCGCCCAATTCCGGAAGACGCCGCTGTCACTGACTGGCCATCGGCATTGTTAGTAGGACCCGTGCCATAAAGCCCACCCAGGGTGGAGCCAGCTTGTCCCTCAAAATCCTCGCTGGAGCCGCCGCGCCCTGAGGTGTGCAGGGGATGGGGTGGGGAGTTCTGCTAAGTTGACGAGAACCTCATCTAAAAGCTCCACCCTGTGAGCCTGAAGCAGTTGAGGGTGGTTTGGGAGACTTGCTTTATTCTTGGGGTACAAGCTGTTCTCCCGCTTCTAGCTACAACACAGCCAGGGCGGAAAAGGCTTAGGATGGCCGCGTGGCTTTTGCTCTCCATGAACCCCAAGCAAAGAGCGCAGTCCCAGCATTCGGAATATACCCCGCTTCCTGCGGATCCCTAAACTTCTCTCGAGGGCCCGAGGCGCACCCCTTGGACCAGCGAATGCAAACGTCCAGAGAGGACCTGACTCACGCTTGGCCTCCTGGAGCGGCAGTCCTGAAGCCAGCAGCAGAAATCCCAGGACTCCGAGGAGATTCTCCATACTGAGTCCGAGCGCCCGCAATCAGTCAGGGCTTAACTCTCACTGGCCAGTCCCATCCACCAGGAGTCACGGTGTCAGCTTCCTGAGCCCCGCTCTGATTTATGAAATACGGGGCCTGAGGAAGATCATGTGATGTTTTAAGCAGTGTAGCTGGATCTCTCGAATTCCACCTCTTAAGAACTCGTGCTTATGACTCACTTGCCCCTGGCATCTATTTATTGACTTCGGATGTACGGTCTTTTCATTTTGTGATCCCACATTCGCGTCTCTCTTTTCTCTCCCCCCTCCCTTTTTCCTAGTTTAAAGGGAGCTTCCTAAAATCCTATTCCGACATTCTGACATTCTTCGTTGTTGGTGAACTTTCTTCGCTGCTGCTCGTGCGACGCATCTTCCAGAATTTGGACAGCGGCACTAGCTAGCATTCCCACGCCAAACAAAGGGCAGCGACGATCAAGTTTTCACCTTTTGGCAAACATCCTATCACCACCTGAGGTGTTGATGCCCTTTGTGGCTGGCATAGTTCTGTCTTGTATTTTTGGTGAGATGAGCAATTCGTCTTTAAATGAATTGGACATATTAAACTTTTCTGTAACAAATCTTAGTTTTCTCTAGGAAGCTACAACAATCAAATAATCTTTTATTTTTTGCCTTCCCTGACCCATCAAGAGAGGAGGTAGCCTCTAGGGCAGGAGTTAAAGGTTAGCTCCTAGAGATTAAACAAGAAATGGGAACAACCTTCTTCTTCTTCTTCTTCTTCTTCTTCTTCTTCTTCTTCTTCTTCTTCTTCTTCTTCTTCTTCTTCTTCTTC